AGCGAGAGTCATCCACCAGAGTCTCTGGCTAAGAGCATTGAAATGACTCTCTGGGCAGACGAGAGAATTCCGTGACCTCGCTGCTACTGACGCGGAGCGAAGCATCTACCGTTGCAAGTTTCGGTGAAATTTTGACAGAAATTTGAGGTCGAGACTTTCGGATCTCACGAGTACTGTAGCAAGTTGCTACAGTATCATCTATAGTTCTACGTTGCTACTAGCAACGTATCATGCTTTCGTCCCACTACCCACTACTACCAACTAACTAAATGAATGTATGCTATTGGACAACAGACATTCAACAATAGTATGGTAGAATGTTCAGGGTGAACCAGCGAGCGAGTAAATTCGACGCGTTGTCGCGTCTCTCATTGCCAAGGGAGCCAGTCGCTACGCTCCTGAAATGCTTTGAAGTGTGAGCGCCACTCCGGCCACAATCCGAGCAAATTTGAGTCACGAGTACCAAAGCAAAGGAAGTACCATAGCAATTTGCTATTAGCAAACAATCACGAGTATTAATAATAGCTCTAGAATTCGTGCATATTACTGTATTATGCACTAATTGACAATCAATAATTGCAGAACTGAACCAGTCCGAAACTCACCATTGGTGGGTCACCAACCGACCATTCATAAAGAGAGGAATTTTCAGGAGGGGTCTACTGGCATTGATCTCTGATAGGGGCAACCTATTTTTATAACCCAAGCGAAATCGAAGAAGGGGAGCATATCACCCGCAATCCCGCATCTTATGCAGCTTCGAATAGCCAACGAAGCAAGCCGGTCAGGCGTAGCCGGACAAGCTCAGGGGGCTCCCCACTGGGGAGTCCCCAGTCCCTCCTGGATGTATTATCGACCGAAGCGCGAAAACTTTTCGCCGAAAAGTGGCCGGTGATGCGCAAAAGTGGCGAGCGAAGTGGAGAAAGGGCACGTGAGAAGTAGAAGGGCTCTTGTGTGGGACACGGGGTGGCCGTCAAGGAGGGGGCGGGTAGAGCATGACATAGGGGGCATATTTGATCACCCGTTGGGTTGTTCGACACCACAGATCCTGTTGACATTGACTTATAACACTAGCCAGAGCGTTACTATTTGGAGGAATAGGATGAATACAACAACAGTACAACCTCCTACTAGCCATAGCTAGGAGGGACAGATTGGGCAGACGGATTCCACAGCACACAACTATTGGACGGTAGAGTGATCACGCCCCCCAGGCCAGATATGTGGCAAGGAATCAGAAAGCATCAATCCCTTGACTTCTTAGCCAGCTACAGACAGCTTTTGGAATATGACGGTGAGCCGTACTGGTAAAGCCAAGCCCAAATAGATCCACCGGTCCAACAGTAAAAGTCGCACATACCTTATCGCGACGACCACGGGGAGGATGCCAAGATCCATTGCGGTGGCGGTCAAGGCCAATAACTTCTAGCTCTTCCGGGGATGTACGCTCCACCAGGCTTACAGACAAGTCGTGAGAGGGCTCACCAGCTTCATCAGTGGTTGTTTCGCGAATGACGAATACCCAATGACCCGGTTTTATGCTGAGAAAGGGGATAGTATCCCCGGGATACCACCAGGCATAGAAGGCCGAGCAATTTGGGTCAATAACGCTTGATGTGGGAGAATCGAATGTGTGAAGTCACTGATAAAGTCGTCGGTCTTATACGGCAAAAGTTGGCCAACAGAAACATATCCAGATTTTCCACGTAGCTGGTACAAATACTGATTAGTGGGATGGACTTGTGCCACTTCATAAGGCCCCTGGATAACACGTTTACCATTGATCTTGCGCACAAGCCGGACGTCATCTCCTTCATCAAAGGAATAGCGAGGAGCAACTGCCAGCATATCATGAATCTCGGCTGTGGTAGCACGTTCATCTCGAAGTTGGTGGTACAAACTATACCGATCCTTGATTATATCATTCACCCGGTCAAAAGGGAGTGCTTCATCTAAATCTGACCCAACCGCCAAGTTGTGTGGGGACAACCGAGTTCCCATCAGTGATGATTGGTTGTGCACAAAGCTACTAACCATTACCGAAATATACCAAGGGAGGGCAGTATTGCTCGTAGCATTTGTTTGAAGACCACACTTCAAGTCACGCACTACGCCTTCCACTAGGCCTTGGGTTTGTGGCCTACGAGCAATACCAATAGAGAGATGGAAGTTCCATGTTCTTGCGAATATCGATAGCTCTTCACTAACATGGGCTCCTGCTCCATCAAGTTGAACATAACTTGGTACTCCATATACTTGGAACCAGATCAACAAGCTAGTGATAACGACAAGCGCTGACGTGTTAGGTACAAGTAGTGACAATACAGCCCTTGATCCTCCATCAACCATCACAAGAACATACATATTATTGCCCGGGCAAGCAGGTTGGTTAGCACGGACAAAACTGTCCATAGGTCCCATAAAATCCAATTGCAAAGCGCTAAACCTAGTCATGCCTCGGCGGAATACAAGGGGTTGAGGGTTGAAGGGTTCATACCACTTCCCCAATTGACAGTTAGGGCAATGCTTGATCCAGCGGTTCATATCCTTCGAAATTGTCGGCCACCAATATCCATCCGCCTTTGCGGCAGAGATCGCTCTTGGAGACCCTCGATGCCCACCAAGTAAGGGGTTGCTATGGTATCGATAAAGAGCCCAGGCACGACTCCTTGGGGAGGGCAAATACACCAACCAAGGCCCATCAGTTTGTTTGTCCTTGTACTCGAGCAACTCATTCAGGATCCTAAATCGTGGGCCAAGGACCGCGCCCCCCAGTCGTAGCCGGGTTGCAGTAGGATAGACATCAGGCTCAGCAAAGCTCGCCATAATCTCCGAGACAGGTACATCAAATAGCTTCAAATTACTCGTATAATCCTTGTCACCCAATGCCTGTCTACAATGCAGTGCAGCATTGAATGCACCAATAAGTCAGCTTCTGACATATCGGCAACACCAGTCAAGTCATCATACTTGATAATATCGACATGGGCTACCGCAACAGGGAGCGAGTCACCAATCTGCAATAATCCTAGGTCAGTATTGCTTAAATCAACGGCGGGATCGGGTACAACTACCATCCTCCCGGGGTCAACATGACTAAAAGGAGGTGTTATCAATGCACAATCAGTGTCACGGGAAAAAACTACACAAGAAGGGAAAGTATCCAAGCTTTTCACTTTCTTGTTCACGCTGGTAGTAATTTCGGACAAGTCTGGTAAGACATCCAGAGAACTCCCCAGACGTGACAGTTTGTCCGCTTCATCATTAAGGTAGCCAGCTATATTGCAAACCTTGATGGATACGCCAAGCTCTTCCTTGCATTGAGTCAGTAGGTCAGAAATATCATCTTGCAAGCGGTGCACAGCTTGTATGTCATATTTGCGAGGTTTTTGCGCGCTACCCCATGCAGCTGCAGTAGTGTTATCACAGTAAACAACTATACCTCTAATATGATGGCTAGAGGGCGGGAAAGCTTTAGCCCAGCACACCAAATGGCGAATTGTACGGTGCAACCAATAGAATTCCTTTCTATTCACATGCCACCGTCGCTGTTTCTCATCAAACAAACGAGCATGTTTTTCTAATGACATTTTCTAATTCCAATTCTAAGTTCTAGAATTGCGAAGTGTCCACAGTGAACAAACAATATGCTGATGAACGCTGTATCATGATTTTTAACCGGGATTTCGCTCAACCGGCCATCTCATCGTAAAACTGTCAATCAAAAAAGGATTCCGGTACTCAATTCATGATCGTCGTTGTCCAAACCGTTTATCCCAGACGGGTTCTAAACTGAAGCACAGCATTCTACTGATGAGAAGGACTAGAGAAGCCCTGACTAGATGTATTTTTGCAAAATCCATGTTGCCAAAATTCCTACGTCTTGGGTTTTGTGAACAATAACAAGTCATTGCAAAAGTGACTTCGGATGTCCTACATTGCAACAATTGCATAAACATAAATTGCAAAAGCACAGCGGTGTTCCAAAAACCACTTTACCCGGAATGGTGCTGTGAGCACAGTTTCGAAAATCCTCTTCAGCTCTGCCAAAGAGCGATCGGAGAGACACTAACTGCGAGCTAGTGAGTCGGAACTGTTTGTCCCAAGAGCATTTCCATTTGCCAGCCCAGGAACGCAGATAATCAGCTATAAGACGAGCCTCAGCGTGACAATACGCCGGGTCATATATCTCCCCCGCGAGGGAGAATATTGACCTTTTCGAAATAAATGGACCAACATCCACACTGGACGGTAGACCGTTGGTAGACCATTACATGATAATTCAAGTTCCCTTGTGCCCAACAAAGACAAGGTTACACCTAAGTGGTCAACTGACGCACCCGGAACCAAGTGGGTTTGCTTCTCCTTTGGAAACTCGGCCCCTATCTCAGGAGCAATTCTTGAGATGATCTCAACGAATCGACGGGCTAAGTCACTTGGCCCGATGATCAAGAGATCATCATAATAAGGCAGGATAGTCAAACCAGATATGACATCTGCGAATCCAAAAACTTCATTCACCTCAACAGGTCTCCCCAACATACCTGTGAGTACCGCATTGCACAACGCACAAACTTGTGCGCTAAGGATTGCTGGACCCACACGGATCCCAAAAATAATCCTATCTGATACGAATACCCTACCAAGGGTACGAACCTTCACATATTTGTTGTGTGCAATCCTTATTTTATAAAATGCTTTTCGCAAATCTAATATATAGACACTAGATGATTTAGAGTCCCATCTTGCACGGACTAGTCTCAGGATTTGGTCAATCGACCATCCATGATATGATGCACACGCTAGCTCACCATTGAGTTTGCGTGCATCGCTACACGCTCGTACGCGCGTCGATTTTGTCTCCTTCTGGGATGAAGGAAACGTGATAATATCAGTTTGAGAGATTAAAGAATGGCACTTGTCATTATTGTCTACCGGGACCCACCAATGACTGTCCACGAAGTTTTTAATCTCTAAACAATAGTCAGTGCGCGCACGCTCTGAAAGAGCTTTGTACAATCCAATGCTATAGTCGAAGGGCTTCGACTTGTTACCCCCGCTTTTCATCGCATCGGCCGCGTCACTGACTTTTGTACCCTTCGGCAGCACTTCAACCTCTAGGGTCACAGTCTGAATGCTGGTGTCCTTGACCTCCCATGGCTCCAGTCGACGGAGCCTATAGCGGTAGCTTGGCGCTCCGGGGCAAGCTTTCCATTTGTCAATATTTGACGTTAGGTAAAAGAGTGCCGACTTCACTTGGGTATCAATATTTGCCAAGATTCCGCCTTCGTTGATTCCAGACACAGACGGGACACTAATCTGTATTCCAATCGAAGGGAAATCTGGATAGCCCAACAAAACATCAGCCTCAGGCAGAGACTTTGTCACGAAACACGATATCAAAGGGCTGTACCCACCATGGTTTAGGCGCAGAGATATCACTGAATCCATGGCAACAGTGCTGCCATCAGCTAATATGAGAGTTGAGGGGTGTTCCAGTTTCGTAACTTTAAGCTGGAGATGGTCTACCACGAGCTCCGTCACAAGGCTACATGCCGAGTAACTATCAATACCAACGCGCACTGGCAGTTGTTTGTCTAATTGATCAGGTGGAGAGACCACTGTTGTGATTTTCCAGACCTTGTCCACCCTTCCTACTGATTGCGCAACACACACAAAGTAAGCAGAGACTTGACTAGTCTTCGAAACCTTTACAGTATCAGCTTTATTATGGTCAGGCTTCTTGGAAGTCCATACTTCGGACAGTCTGCCAATTTATGATCCGTAGATCCACAGCCTAGACAGGAACCAGCCTGTCGTCGTTGCTGCAAAACTGAGCTGCTCACCTTGAGCTTTTCAGATAGAGTTGGTTTCAGTGGTCGTGTAGAACTCGCCGAATCTGCAGTAGATGCTGAGAGTGGTTTTGATGGGGAAGTAGAAGTACCACTAACCGGGCGTCGTTTATGCTCACCACCATGATCATCACGAGGTTTGTTAACGATAGAGCTTGGAATAGGCTTCTGCCCTTGCACGCTTCTCAAACGCTTGTCAGGACCATGATCTTCACGTGGTCGATGTCGCTTTTCACCGCGATGGGGTTTCTGGCCGGGGTCATCCCTAGTGAAGTCGAACCTCTCAATACCAAAGAGCTTGTCGAAATCACTGTAGCCATTAGCTCGGGCATATTCCTGAACTAATCTCGTACACTCAACATCGGTCGTTGCTCTTGTCTCAATGAGACGGGCCAGCTCAAGAGCACTGCTGTACTCGGGGGCTACCTTGCAGGATCGAACAATAAGAGCCAAATTTTTACGGCGGACCTTGAAGTCCAGCTTGACAGCACACTCCTGGTTGAGACCATCATCACCAATTGCTGCAATCTTAGCCGCCAACCGACGCTCCTCAGAAAAAGCTCTCGAGAGAGGGATCTTCCGGAACCTCAAGGATGCCCACTGACTCAGTAGCAAGACGATATTGTTGTCTCTGGGAGCTTCAGTCTCTTGATAGTCACGCCAACAAGATACCAATTTATCATATAAGGCCTTCAGTGCATTCGTCCATTTCACGAAGTACTCCTTCAACATATCATTATCACAGATACCTTTGCTAGCTTCTTTGGTGATTGCAGTCCAGAGCAATAAATCGGACTTGGGATCAAACTTCTCCACACCATTCGTTGAGGAGAAAAGAGCCTTCTTAAGATTGCTACGTAAGGCAGTGTCAACAACGGTTTCCGGGAGATAGGCGGCCAGGCCAACCAAGAGAGGGCCCCACTTTGGACCTGTAATACGGGCAGTAGCAGAGGCTAAATGCTGACAAAGGGCATCATAGTTGAACGCGTCGAAACCGTCTTCTTGACCGAAAGCTTTATCACGAGTAGCACTACGATGTCGGCTCAATTTGTATGCTGCATGAAATGCAGCAGGGTCTGGACCGACACGCTTCGCAGCGCAGGTAAACTCCAATCCTGACCATGCTAGAGCATTGGCCGATACACCAATTATAGCCAAGAGCTGCCGATAAGTACTCTGAGTTTGCAAGCGAGACCATTCAACTTCCAACTCCTCATAACCTCCTCCAGGTACGGCTGCCAGAGCCGCCTTAACCCTATCCAAAGGGTTCTTGTCATTAAAAGATATCTGAGGGCCGGATGATGCACCATGATCACCCGTTGGGTTGTTCGACACCACAGATCCTGTTGACATTGACTTATAACACTAGCCAGAGCGTTACTATTTGGAGGAATAGGATGAATACAACAACAGTACAACCTCCTACTAGCCATAGCTAGGAGGGACAGATTGGGCAGACGGATTCCACAGCACACAACTATTGGACGGTAGAGTGATCATATTCACGCACGAAGAGTGAGAGGGCTTGAAAGAAATTCAGAGCGAGAGCTGATTCAATCGAATATACAGCACACACGTGGAGGTGATTGCGTTAAAGTGGGATTGTATTATTGAGAATCGTAGAAGAAATCTGAGAACATGAATTCCGCACGCACAATGACCTTGTATCAATACTGGTGATAGGTATTCACATCATCAGGTGGCCCCAGAGTCAATCTACTGTTTCGGGGCCCTGGTGGGCCGCCGGAAATTGGCTACTGCCAGTGGCCAGAATCAGCTTAGCGATGCCACTGAGTCAAACAGACTGTTTGAAACAGCGCGGATGTCACTGCTGGCAGTAGAGCCAGCGCGTGAATACGCACGTGTACAACGAATTATCGATGTGTCTCTCGTTACTGCCCTTTTCCAGCTACGCAACGCCTCTCTTCCCTAATGTCGAGCTCACGTGTGGATCAAGGAGAGTTTTCCTCGCATAGATCAACGAGGATTGCCCTTTTCTCTGGTGTTCAACACTCCCGAATAACCTCAGCGAAGATCAACCCAAGCTTGGCGGCATGGTGCGCAGCATCAGTCGCACAACCTTCGAACATCTTGTGGTGGTCATTACTTCTAAAGAAATGCATGTGAATGTGACACTAAAAGTCTCAGACGCAATATGAAGAGCTGGCGTACTCGTGAGCATTGTGCTGGTCGACAAAACCATACTGAGGTCGATAGTCACAGCCGATGTCAAGATGCTCTCACGTAGTCGCAGTCGCACAACGACCAAAGCGGTTTGCGCACACTAATAAGATGTTCTGCGTCACGTGATGATTGTTCAGCTTCGGGATGCTATGAACGTGCTTACATAGAATGGAGAGTCAGCAGTTCATCAACGCATCGGACAACTCAGTTTTTTCAACTCTTTTCCCAATTTTATGGTCATCGCCTCTTTTCAATGTGCTCTATTGTCTTTCCTTGGGGCTTCAGCCTTCACAATGGAAAGCATACGGATGCAGACTAAGGTTACCCATTACTGTAATCTCGATTTGCTCGACGAGTACGGCAAGCCGGTGCAATGCCATATATCCAAGGCTATGGAGACCATGGGACTGGTACTGCCTGGCATGGACGATGGAAAGTCCCTAACCACCCTCCACGACGTTTTCATTGTCAAAGACGGCCAGGTAACGGTTCAAGCTTCGCCGAGTCATCCTTATCAGTACCTTCTGACAAGTGAGACTGACGCTCACTCCCAGACCCTCCAGCTTTTCAATAAGAAGTCTTTCCTCGTTCACCACGCAGGCAAGACACATGGTGCTCCGTCTGCTAATCGCAAGCTCGATGTCGGTCATACTCTTGAGAAGGATGGATGGGCTCATCACGGCCTCGTGGAGGTAGATGGTCAGAAGGTGAATAAGTGGGTTAGGAGTGGAGCCGAGGGTGTTGACTCCAAAACTCACGCAAATTTCACCGCTCTCGCCCAAACTGGTTTGGTGCCCAACTCTTGGACTCTCTACACCGACGAGGCCGATGAGAAGATGGTCAAACTGCTGGCCACGAATACGTTCGAGAACAACAAAGTGTACCAGGTGACCGAAGTGACCCACTGGGAGAAGCTAGACGAGGCAAAGACGGTAGATGATACGCTGAAGCAAGTTTACTCAACATACGACATTGCTGACCACTCCACGGCGCCTCCCACTGAGGATGAGGCGCCATTGTTGGAAGCACGCTTCATCAAGACTCATCTGATCAGCGAATCTGCCCGCATCTTCTTCAACGACGGTGAGCATCCTGATTGGAGGCCATCGACAAGGCTCCTCCGTGGCAAGCAAGCGACCCCTTCTATTGACTACTTCACCATAGTTGAAGGTACAGCCTCGCATAAGTACTTCTTGGAGCGATATCAGCGTCAACTCCTGGATCTGCCCAAGTTCGTATTCCCAAAGGGTTGCACTATCGGCAAGTCCACCAACGGTGTTCCATACTGTCTCAATGTTGGTATCTCGGCAAACACGACAGCACTATCTCTCGATTTCGGTATGTCCTTCGTTGACGTGCACAATAAGAACTATCAAGCAAGCCTCAAGATATCCATCACTATGAAGTGGCCACAAGCTGATGTTGTTTTGGGCTTTTCGTTCGAGGGTAGCGGATGCGCCGTTGTCTTCCAGAAGGGTGTATCTTTCGCAAGGCTATACATCCAAGTGTGCATCACTGCTAGTGGCTCCGGCAAGAATCTGCTGCAGCCCGACAACCGCACTTTCGCCGGCAAAGCCTCGGTTTCGGTCTCTTTCAATATTGATGTCCCAGTTGTTCCCACGTTGAAGGCGACTTTAACCGGTGAAGTTGATGTCCAAGGAGCTCCACACAGTGATATAAAGGCCCACGGCTCTCTGGGCCTCGACGTTAACCTCGTGGTAGTCGGTGCCGGTGTGTCTGTCGACATCTTCGGAAACACTGTGGAGAACCATGCTAATGTCTGGGATTTCCAGTCCCATGTGAACCTCCACGTTTGGGTGAACATTTTCGTCTACAAGCATACCTGGCCATGGACTTGGACTATTTGGAAAGCTGGGCCAGTCACTTTCTAATTGTAGTGGTACTGGGTCAGTGCTATTCGCTCATCGAGACAATTGTAAATAGTTTTCCCGCAAGGGCGATGTCTAATATTGCGAAATGCTTGATCATGGAGTTCTGGGAGCTAGATTTGCCATATTGTGCCCCTTTTCATTCCATGAACATGTGTCTTATATGTGCTATCAGGATCATGGTTCCTCTTTCGATGGAGTTATTCAACAATTTTTTCACGGGATTGTATATAAATAGTACCGTTGATCTACCTCACTAAGGCACAGTTTTCACTCACGTCAATCAAGCTCAATTATTGACCCTAGTGTCTTATCCTATCCGAAGTATCCTTTTTGATCTCGTAGCACAGACCATCAAACATTTTCAAATGAGCTACAGTGTGTGAAAGGGAGCACACTACTGAGCTGTCCTTATTGAGCCTCGAAGATTAGTAAAGATGGATTCCAATAGATTCTGAGGTTTATAGTTTCTTTTCCGGTCTCATGACCTATTTTAGTCTATTGTACATAATTTCCCGTTTATGTTCGCATTTTGAGCAAAAAGAGTGACAGTTCCTAGAGCTGTTCTCAGTGACTTCATAGCGACGAATCAACCAGCGATAGCCATTGACGGCTTGAGCATCATTCAGGTCTCAATGAAGTTTCCGTTGTTGGCTTTGTCAATAGTAAATGGCAATGGATAGTGCGCGGAGGGAGAATCCAATGAAGTGGGAAGATACAGCAGTAACGTGGCAGGTAGCCGCTGAGCCCAGAGTAGACTACTCACACACCCAGAAGCCGCAAGCATTTATGATCAATCGTGGAGGAAAATCATTGAGCTGCTTTGGGGCTGTGGCTATTGCGGTCCAAAGGAACTGTGAGATCAAGCGCTCCCTGAAAACGCGTACGAGTTTCGCCCGAGGGGTCCAGCAGTGAGCTACTCACTGTGAGTAGCAAAAGTTCATTAGAGAGGTTACACTAGCCCGTTCAGTGGCATCATGCCACTGGCATGGGTGAGTAACACTTACTTGGTGTGTAAGAGTGAAGATCCATTGATAACGGTGTTCAGTTGTATCATAGTATGATACAACTGATAATCATACAACTTGTATTTAATTCTCCATTGGATGAGCAGCTCAATGCCATTGGGACCCAATGATTGGGTGTCTATCATAAATCCTATCGGGCGACGAAGGGAGTAGTTATGAAATGGCCTCTAAAACTATGAGAATGATTGTGCTCTGTCAATATGAAAGAGTTATGGCAATGATAGATATGAACAGATAAATTATCTGAGGACCAGTCAAATCTGTTACAGATTGTCTGAGATAATCTGTAACAAATTTGACTGGTCCTAGATCGACAGAAAACCCGGTCGGAAGTGAGCGCGATTCGGGACCAGAAAACTTGTTTCGAGGGACCATTCACAGTGGGAATGTACTTGCCCAGATGGGATGAGACATTTCCACACTGTCTGAGTGAATATAATCTATTCACTCAATATGTCATATATTGAGACCCCATAAACGTTATAGGGGGCTCTCTGGTGCAGCCAAAACGCTATTTTGACGCAAATGTTTAGACGCGTCACATTGTGCAAGGGCATGAGTGTTGACATGGATTCCCCTGTATAGAACCATCACACTTCGTGTAGGTCACCCCAGGGGTACAAGAGGGCCTCTTGTTCTTCGCTGGGCCTGGTTACCAGGTGCTAGGACTTGAGGTGTGGGACTTCCTCTATTCGCATAATAACGCACAGTGATATATCAATTCTGAATTAGTTAGATTATTAGTTAAATATCAGAGACAACCTCACGCCGTGAGGCTCACGGTTAATTTTGGCGTGGATGATGGCTCGCCCCCGGAATCCGGGGTCCGGATGTTCATATTCCATTACATGGAAAGAGAATCACTTCGCTCTGCTAATTGAGCTTGCGCGCGAACGTAGTTTAGTGTTCACGTGAAGGCTTCACGGTGAAGCTTCAAGCCTTTCATCACTTGGACACTTTTTGAGTTCGAAGTCTACTACGACTCTCCACTGAGGAGGACCACCGTTCCTGCACCCGATTTCCCGGGATTCTCTCCTCCCCCCGGGAATTGCAAGCACGTTGAGAATCGCTGCCACCCTGGCGGGTAACAGTACCGCTCTTCTTCGTAGAAAGCGTAGCAACCCCGACACCCTCTACAGTATCAGCGGGCTTTGCTTCTCAAATGCGCACTATACTCTCGCTCGTTCTCCTTTCAATTCTACCTTCATTCGAGTGCTTGGACAAGGGAGCTACGGACTTGGCATTTATCGGTTTCCAGCATAAGTAAGTTGGTCATCAGGTCGTATTGTATAACGATGTTTTGATTTGCAGATTCGGTAGAAAATACGAGTCTAAGGAGGAAGAAGTCAAAAGAAATGCCATCTTTCAGGCCAACCTCCATCACATCGAGCAAACCAACGCTAAAAGTGAGTAACATCATATTCGCCGTAAGCCGAGTGCCGAGCTATGCAGATCTGTCTTACAAGCTGGGCGTCAATGAGTATGCGGATCTCACACACGAGGAGTTCGCCGCTCTGAAGCTCGGCACTTTGAAGATGAGTATGAGGAGGGATGATAAGTTTGTTGTTGAAGGTAGGAACAGCAGCTGTTGAACAGCTGGATTTCTCATGCCAACTCGAGCCTCCTCGTGTCAGCTGATACCACACAGCTCGCAACTTCGGTGGATTGGAGAAATAAGGGTGTATTAACACCGATTAAGAATCAAGGGTCCTGTGGAAGCTGCTGGGCTTTCTCATCGACCGGTAACTTTCTTGGACATAATTGCGTGGACCTTTGCACTTTTCAGGTGCTCTCGAGGCGCAGTATGCCATCGCTACGAGTAAGCTCTTGTCTTTCTCCGAGCAGCAGCTTGTTGATTGCAGCTCCAGCTATGGGAACCAGTAAGTGGCACTACAGACACGTGTTTCTCATCCAGTTTCGGAGGAATATATGCTTGCTTTCATCAGCTTAGTCTAAGAGTTTCATCACTGATAAAAGAGTTTGTATACGAATCCGGCTTACCAACAATTCCCAAGATTCCCTCGAGGTTTCCTTTTTGTCACCAACCCATTTGATGAAGCATACCCATATCATCCTGTGCAAAATTTCCACACCATTCACATCTCAGGGGATGCAGTGGAGGCTTGATGCATTATGCTTATGAATACATAAAATCATCTGGCATCGATCAAGAGTCAACCTACCCTTATGAAGCTTCGGACAACACGTGCCAAAAGTCCCTTGAGAAACTAGCCAACGGCCTCCCGGTGAGACTTGTATTGAACAGTACTATCATCATCCCCAACAGGTCGGCGAGGTTACTGGCTATCACATGCTAGAACAAACTGAGCAGGCTTTGATGACAAGGTTAGTGGCGGCTCCGGTCTCCGTTGCAATGTATGCTTCGGATCC